CTTAAAAACTATATAAACAAAATCCGTTCTTCCCCGTTATTCCGTTTGTTTCACGTTTTCGAACGTAATCTCGACAAATATATCGGCGATAATCGATCTTTGCCCGCAAAGATTCTCTTACGCTGCGAACGTTCGGTTTTTCTGCGATACTTTTAAAAGACTCGTTCCCCCCAAAGATCGAATTAAAAATATTATACGATATTTATAAACAATCGCTCTGGACAATAATAAAATTACTCTTATTAGCTTTAAGACTTTACCGGCATCGACGATACTGTATAGTATTAGCGCTATTCGGACGCCTGTGTATTTTAAAGAATAAAACACCTAAATCGCAAACGAATAAAAAGATTCGATCGAACGAAAGAAAATGCGTACTTAACTAGAAAAATACTCCCCGATCCCAAACCGGGGAACGCGAAACCAAAATTCGAAACGGCAGTATCGAAAAATAAGAATTTCCAGATTCTGTTAACGATAAAAGGGTACAGAATCGTTTCAGAGACTTTCCCGCAACGATGTTAAATGCCTATATAACCATATACAACTATTCCATACTGTTCCTTTCGTTTTCTTACACGATATCGATGCACCGGATTCTCCTCCGAACAGTTCCGTGCCCTTGATTTGCATTATGGTTGCCTTTGGTTGCCATGATCGATGTTTTCGAGAGGACCCGTGCCTTGTGTACACGTGACGATCGTACCGCTTCTCGCGGAGAAAAAGCAAAGCTCGATCAGTGGTCCGTACAGCGCCAATTGCGGTAGCGGCGAAATGCTCAAACTGTTAGCCAAAATCGACCATCGATAATTTGGCTAACGGTTCAAACGTTTTGCCGCTACCCCAATTGGCGCTGTACGAACTTCGAACTAAGCTTTACTTTTTCTACGCAAGAGGCGCCACGATCGCCCGACATATTTTGTCGAAGTCGAAGTCGAAGTCGAAGTCGAAGTCGACGAATCGATTGTTGTCGATTACAATTCTAATTCTAACCTAGTGCTGTATAAATTATAACCTAGTACACATATGTAGGTAGAATAATAATTTGTTGCAGAGACTCGAAAAAAAGAGAATGGTACTTTTTAATGTGATGCACGGTACTCTTCGATCTCTTGGGCGTTCAACGAAATACGAATCGATTAAAACAACCGCCAATGTAACGTTGAATCTAACCCGAACGCGAATGAAATGGGCTAGCCGTACACCGGTCGCAATTGTTAACGAAGATGAACTTTACGATAACGAAGACACTACCAAAAAAAGCTATACCGCAAGTAAGAGGATAAAAAGTACATCGAAAAAAAAGCGTGGGGAAATTTCAACGGTTGAGAACAAAAAACGTGTCACCGTGTTCGAATATAATGATCCAACCATAACGTATGTTCATCGATCGAACGTTGTGTTACTTTAAATTCTACTTTGTTATAAAATTGAAATTTTTCTCAAATTTGTGTCTTCTTCTTGCTTCTTCTTAGATCCTTAATGACCAAAATTAGATCACGGAAGAGAAGGGAAAAGAACGATAAAATAATTTTGGAAGGGTACAGATTGATCAAGGACGCGCTCGAAGCTGGTGCACAATTGGAAATTATTCTCTTCAACAATCAATTCGATATCGATAAATTAAATCGTATTATCCCTGACGATGCGCAACTTTATAAAGTTCCGTATAAAACTATTCAATTATGGTCTACTTTAACCAGCCCACCCGGAGTGATGGGTAATAACATATACTTTTACTATTATTTTTGTTTTTGTTGTTGTTGTTGTTGTTGTTGTTGCTATTCTATGCGATGCACCTGCGTACTTGCAATAATTTTCGTTCGACCTTTATCCAGGAATTTTTAAGACTCCCAATGTAGAGAACAACGTTACTAACAGCGACTTGTTACCCCTTACTATTATTTGCGACAACGTGAGGGATCCGGGAAACATGGGATCGATTATGAGAGCAGCGGCAGGCGTAGGTTGTGAAAAATTAATTTTAGTAAAAGGTATAGTCTATTTACGTGTTACGTTGCGTAAAGCATCTATTACATAAATTGGGAAACGAATAGCGCCGCATCGCGCATCGTCTTCATTATTTTTCTATTCAGGTTGCGTGGATCTGTGGGAACCAAAAGTCCTAAGGACTGCGAGTGGTGCTCACTTCCGACTGCCTATTCATGCGTTTCCATCGTGGGACGAGGTTCTGCCGTTGATAAACGAAAGCTCGAACATTTTTGTGGCCGACAGTAACTTCGGCGACGAGTTTGTACCAAAGTATAGCACCGATATGCTTCAACCCAGCAGTGGAATATTCGACGTCGATCCAAAAGAACTCAAATTAAGCACGGCTAACCACGACGACGATGCGAATAAAAGCATCGTATCGGAGTCGAACGAAGCAGCCAATAAAAAAACAATGAGAGACCTTTTGTTGAAACTACCTATCGTACCGTACTATTCTATGGATTATACGAAACAAGAAATTGTGCTCGTCCTAAGCGGAGAAACCCAAGGTTTGTCTCTCGACTCGTACAAGTTGTTGAACGATAGGAAAGCTATTCGTATCAACATACCTTTGGTAAACGGAGTCGACAGTTTAAACACCGGAGTTGCCCTTGGCATCGTTACATTCGAAATGAAGAGACAATTTATAAAAAAACAAGCTGAACTGTAATAAAATGTTTCATCTTTCCACGAACGCGGTATTGGACTACCGGACTATATTCGATTTTCGTACTGTACGGATAAAACACTGTACACCGAGCTCGCGTAATATACCTTACCCGTTGCTTTCACGGTAGCTTAATTTTCACTAGCCACGATCGGTTGAGCAGCAGCTGGTCGAACTGTCGGAATTAGAAATTACAATGTTCGTTGTAACGCGTTTATACGCGATCTCCTCGAAATTATTCGAATAAAATAAAATGCTTCGAGAGAAAACTTACTTGTACAGGTTTGAGGCTGGAATTTAATATCGTCGATAGCGAAACCTCCGTTGCTGGCGCTTCCTCGCAAAATCAGATGATAAGGTACACGCGCGTCTATCGTGACTTGTCCTGCCGTCCATACAGGCCTCGGATTATTAAATCCTTTAGCGGTTAACGACCATAGCTGAAATAAAAACGAAGAGGACCGTATTCGGTTTAAAGGTCGATACACGGCGAATCGTTCGGCAATTTTTTTTGCTTACAGTTTGCTCCTGGTTTGCTCCGGTATCGTTCGGAACGCCTTGTTCTTCCTCCGCGTTCATCTTGATCACTTGCAGCGTGGTGGATTCTTCGACTCCGAAAGCGGCGAACCAAAAGGTGAAACAAACGGATTCTTCGTCCGGCGATGTTTGTACAATCGGTGATCGCAGCCGTACATCCGTCGACTTCTGATTGGTCGTAAATATATCGAAAAAGATGAAATCACCGGTCGCTCCGAACGTCTTGTCCAACAACTGAGCCGGTCGATGAGTAAGAAAAGCGCTCTGCCAAGTGACTGCGCGTTCGTTGTCCGACAAAGTAATATTTTCCCATCCGCACAGTCCTTTCTCGAAGCTGCAGTCTTCCGGCCTGGCCGACGCGCTCGGTGGTTTCACTGCGAACCGTTGCGATTCCCATCGATACCACCATCGGTACTACCGAGACCAATTTCAAAATTCTACTTCCGGATAACCGTTGATATCTTACCTGTACATTTGCCGGTGTAAAAGGAAATATCGTCGATGCCTATGCTGCCGCTGGCTCGATTCGGGCCCCACGTACCCTCGAACACCACGTTGAAGTCCCTCTTCTCGGCGACGCTGATTTGAGCGTAATTCCACGTGGGTCCTTGATCGTTGTAAAGCTGCCAAATCGACCTGGACTCGGTAGAAGATTCCCCGGTTGTCTGCACCGATACCCGAAGCACTCCTTGAAACGGTGGTCGGTTAAACGTCGTCGTTAATACATCGTTCAACCGCGTATCGATCGATCATCGTACGCACCCAGGCTCGGTCCACTGGAATCGATGAAAGATTCGAACATCAAATACCAAAAAGTAATGCAAACGGACTCCTCGCTGCCATTGATTTCACGACTAACGAGCTGCGCCGTTCCGCCTCCGGACGACCGCGGCCCTCCCCGTGGACGTCCCAGACCGAGGAAAAACTCGTTTCTCCGATTGATCGTATACCCGTTGCTGTACGGTTTCCGCTGGTTCCTCGAGCCGAGCACTTGAAACGACACCCGTTCCCATTCAACACGATCAGGATCTCTGGAGTTGATCCAGTCGCACTCGTCGACTTCGAAGCTGCAGTCTCGCGGTGTCGGTGCAGCGACTTGAGGCGAAACTATAAATTCCGAGTACAAAAGATAAGTCCTGAATTCCCTAATCAAGATACGAGACGAAGCGAAACGAAACAAGTGCGGAAAAAGAAGAGGAAGATTCTACTCGGGCAAGATCCTTGCGCGAAAGAGATGTCGTCGATGGCGATATCGCCCATTCCAGTGTTCCCCACCGAAGCCTCGAACACCAGCTGAAAATCGTCCAAGGAGCTGACGGTGATTTCGGCAACGAACCACGTGTTCCCAGCGTTTCCGTTCAACGCCCAAATCTCTCGAAGGGGCGCGTCCAAGCTACGAAAATGTCTGACGAACAGCTTCAACGCGCCGATTCCGGTACCAAACATGTGGAACCAAAAGTGGAGACACATGGGTGCGTCGGCATTCGGGGCGGGGAAACTCGTGCTAAGAAGTCTGGCTCTGTCTCCTGGTCTGCGCGGATACGACGAGTCTATGTACGCGTATCCTCCGGCCGTCGAACGCTCGCTGGAGCTGTCCATGGCCGGCCCGGTCGTTGGATTTCCGCTTCCTCGGCTCTGAATCATTCGTTACGTTTCTGAAAAGTATCCGTTCCTTCTCTCTCCGATCCGCGGAAGACGAACGTTCGAAAGAACCTACGATCGTCCAGTCGAAATCATCCTCCGCGTCGTTGCTCCAATCGCAAAACCCGCCCGCGAAGTTGCAGAACCCGACGCAAGAAGTACCGGGTTGCAAATCTATGTCGTCCACGGCTGCGTATCCTCTGTACAAGCGAGCCGCGTCGGTGGGATCCACGGGAATGCCCTCGATGACCACCTACGCGAACAGCGTGCATCTCTTATGTATTACGCGCGTGTACCATCGAGCGGGCGACGCCGAGAAAAGAATACTCGTTGGCCAAGTACCGAATGTAACTCGGGATAGGTATAGAGCACTTGCGCGTGCTGCCAAACGCCGAGGGTGTAGTACTCGGCGTTCCAAATGACACGCTCGCCGATCGTTTCAGCGACGAAAGGCTTGCAGGACGGTATCGTGCCGTTGTCGGTTCCCATCGCCTCCGTTTCCTCCTTCTTGCTCGAATACTCGTCCGTTCCCGCGTGAATCAACACTCTCAAACCAGCCACGCTCAGTCCATCCAGCGTGTACTTGAACGTGACGCAGGTTCCGCTCACACCGGTATTCCCCAATTGAGGACTGTGCAACAGTCCTCCCAAGGTTCTCGCCTTGCCGTCCTTCGACACCGGTATCTGCGAGGTTTCCAAAAAAGCGTACCTACGCGCGATCGTACGCACACGTTATTCCTTCGTACGTGCCTCTATGTATAATAAACAAGATATAGGGAAACGACGCGACATCGGAGAGATACCGTGGTACGCGTAATATATCGTACCCTCCTTCCATGGTTCCGGTGGTGTAATCGCTCGGGGGCCCACCCATCCAATTGGTAGCCATGCCGGTACCTGCTCTCCAATCTAAGACGCCGTCCCCGTTTTGCCACTCGCAAAGCGTTTGCGTCGGAAACGCGTTGAAGTCGCAGAAAACTTCGTCGACGGATGCTGCGAGTACCGGCGGTGATCCGCTCATCGGGGGGCACCTGTAACACGTAGGATAGCGCGGCGCGTTTCACTTGTTCGGCTCGTTCAGCTCTCGACGACTACCGAAAGTCGAGTCGCAAAACTACCACGGATCTTTTGCGCGAACTCACCTCCGCGTCGATGGATCCCTTTGAGCGAGCGTTGGCGAATCGAACGGAGTTCGCGACGAGATCGATGTGCTCGAAGAAATCGAACTCTGCGTGTAGAACGTGTCCGGTCTGACGGGCCATTGTCCGGGCTCGATGCGTTCCACGTCGTCCAAAGGTTCGCGGTCTCGAGAGCGCGTCGCGTTGAAAACGTTATCGAAGTCTGGAAAATCGATCGCGTCTTTGGTCCGATCACTTTCGGGTGCCCGAATCTGGTTCGGGCTGAAATTCTCGTTCGCCGCTCCCACCAGATCCGCTTGCTCTCCGAGCGTCGGGTTCGCGGGATGCCATGGACTCGCGTACGATACTCGAGTCAAGCAATAACAAATCAGTAGCGTTGAACGCATTTTTCGTAGCTTTATTCAAAATCGTTTATCTCGACGCGCAGAGCATCGACGCGTTTACCGCGTTGTAATTCGTTCACGGAATCGTCGACGTTTCCATCTACATCGTTCCACCGTCGAATTCGAGACGTATTTTCCGAACAAATTTGCGAAACGAATTTGAAACGCGCGGCTACGCGATCGCGTTCTTCCAACTAAATGACGAACGGGCCGAACGGTTTTCGAGACGCGCGTGTGTACGCATGCGATGAAATAAAACGAGCATTCCGCAGTTCCGGTCTTCGCTTCCTGTCGTTACGCTTTTCAACCTAGCACGTACATACGCGATACGCGATACGCGAAACCGGAGAGTTCGACGATGCCGTATCGTCGAAAGACTCGATCTCGCGTTCTCGCGTTCGATCGGAACCGTAATCGTTCGAATCGCTTTTCTTTAGAATCGGTCAAACACGACACGCGTTTCGATATTTTCAACATTCTCGACGTTCGTCGAGATCAAATTGTCCTATGTTTGTCGAGCGGCTTTAGAAATTTCAGAAATACTTCGGAATTCCAAATTCCTTTTTCCTGGCCGAAGGTACACGGAACCCGACCTAGATTCAAATACGTTCGAGCGATGAAAGGAACGAGATAGGGGCATAGCATCAATTGATCCGTCTTCGGACGGGAAAACGGCAGTTTCCTCAACATCTTCGATATCAAGTTAACGATAGCCGGCGATGCGTATCCACGAAAGGATCGTGGTTGTTCCTTGCATACCATTTTCACGATATCCGCCGCATCCTGAAATTCATCCAGCTTCGAACAATTTTCCGTTACGCTTATTACGCTGTGCGCATAATGCGCGGATATCAACACAGTGTGTTTCGATTATACGTATAAAGTAAACCGCATTTACCGTGGCAGGAAAGGGATGTCTCTTTGTTACCATCTCGTAAAGAACGACTCCCATGCTCCATATGTCGCATTTGAAATCGTAACATTGCCTTTCAAATATTTCCGGAGCCATGTAATACAACGATCCAGCGCGACAGGTTATCGATGAATCTCCTACTCTGCGAGCATATCGTCGACGTTGCACGATTAAATATCTACTAGAAACCGTAAAGGGATAAAATATAAAGCTTACACCGTACACGGCGTACGCGGTCGAACGTATAGGTTTGCTTGTAAAAGTAAAAGTAAAAGTGAAAGGAAACGAAAAAGAAAGAGGAAGAGAGAAAAAGACAAAGAGAGAAAGAAAAAGTAAAAATAAAAGTAGCGGAAGTAGAAGGAAACGCGGGTATATACGTACTCTTGAAAGTTTTTCGATATTCCGAAATCACCGATTTTCACGATGTCGCCACGGCTTCCGGTTAGCATAATGTTCTCCGGCTTCAAGTCCCGATGAAGGATCTTCTTGTAATGTATGTGATGAACGCCGAGAACAACTTGTGAAAAGAGGTACAGCGCGTCCTGCATGCACGGGACAGAGGAACAACGATTTTCAACGATTCCGAATTACGATGTTGATTCGAGAACGCTACGCGTTTTCCGAAGAAATCAACTTACACCTTCCGTGAGCGGCGTTCGCCGCTTATTCAGCAAATCCTTCAGAGTGCATCGTGTCGCGTATTCCATAAGTATATAGCAGCGGTCGTCTTCTATCCAGGCTCCATAATAAGCCACTATATTCGGATGCCTCAGCTTGTGTAAATACTGCACTTCCCCTAATATATTCTGCGAAGAAATTCTTTAATTCCGTATGTAGCGTATAGCACGAAACGAAACGAAACGAAGAAGAAAGAAGCAGAGAGAAAAAGAGGAAGAATCGGTGATTTAACGTTAACCGTTGATTTATTCGTCTAAGAAATTTGTAAAAGGAAACCGATGCTCGCGTCCATAGCACTATCCAACTTATAAAATCTTGAATATTACGTGTATTCGTTTTTCGTTCGATACAAAATTGCTTAGAGTTTAGAAGATCTACTTGAAAGAAAATACTTATCGCTTATCGCAGATCGGTAATCTGTTTGGTCCGAGTTACAAAACATTGCAGTACGTGTATCGTTCTTATTCCAATTTAATTTCTTATTCTAATAAATTTTATCGATTTAATGGTTCGAAGAATATTCCGAGAATACAGAAATGTTCAGGAGGCTGTTCTACATCTATAGTCTACAGTTCTACGGTCTACGATCCAGTATCTAGCCTATAGCGTCCATTTGTAACAAGTGGCACCACTTGTGGTGAAATTTCGAAACAGAGTTAAGGGGTCTGCGCAGCGCCAAACCAGGTGACAAAATGCTCAAGCTGATAGACGAATCAAGGACTGCGCGTGTTTCTTCTAAACATTAGATGGCGCCACTATACGTTTCCAAAATATATTATACTCTGTCGGTAAACGAGTCCAATAGTTTCAGTGTTTTACCATTACCTGTAACGGCGTTGTACGGATCCCTGTACGAAGCGCGGTAGATTCGAAATGTTATACGATAGCAGGGTAGCGTATCTTATACGCATCGTGTCATACTTTTACAGATAGAGCTACACGGCCGAAAATAAAAATTAGTTTCCTCGAAGCCGCGAGAATTTAGAAGAGAACCACAAACTATCGCGGTTTATTTATGGTCATCGTTTCCTCCTTTATTGATTTCCGATTTCTTCGTCTACGTATCGATACACGGAACGATGCACGATCGTGTACGACGGTGATGCACGGCAACGGTGTCCACGAACCAGTACACCTACATAACCCTGATCCACGAACACGAAAAACATTCAACGGTACTAATTTGCGCAGCTCGATGTATCAACTAACGCGATTACGAAATATCAATCGAACGTAGTCGTTCTACACCGATGATCGAATATCAAAAAGTTCAAAACCAATTAAAAATTCGTCGAACAAAGATTGTTTTGTATTTTTTCAGTGCCTACACACGTACACGTACNATATATTCTGCGAAGAAATTCTTTAATTCCGTATGTAGCGTATAGCACGAAACGAAACGAAACGAAGAAGAAAGAAGCAGAGAGAAAAAGAGGAAGAATCGGTGATTTAACGTTAACCGTTGATTTATTCGTCTAAGAAATTTGTAAAAGGAAACCGATGCTCGCGTCCATAGCACTATCCAACTTATAAAATCTTGAATATTACGTGTATTCGTTTTTCGTTCGATACAAAATTGCTTAGAGTTTAGAAGATCTACTTGAAAGAAAATACTTATCGCTTATCGCAGATCGGTAATCTGTTTGGTCCGAGTTACAAAACATTGCAGTACGTGTATCGTTCTTATTCCAATTTAATTTCTTATTCTAATAAATTTTATCGATTTAATGGTTCGAAGAATATTCCGAGAATACAGAAATGTTCAGGAGGCTGTTCTACATCTATAGTCTACAGTTCTACGGTCTACGATCCAGTATCTAGCCTATAGCGTCCATTTGTAACAAGTGGCACCACTTGTGGTGAAATTTCGAAACAGAGTTAAGGGGTCTGCGCAGCGCCAAACCAGGTGACAAAATGCTCAAGCTGATAGACGAATCAAGGACTGCGCGTGTTTCTTCTAAACATTAGATGGCGCCACTATACGTTTCCAAAATATATTATACTCTGTCGGTAAACGAGTCCAATAGTTTCAGTGTTTTACCATTACCTGTAACGGCGTTGTACGGATCCCTGTACGAAGCGCGGTAGATTCGAAATGTTATACGATAGCAGGGTAGCGTATCTTATACGCATCGTGTCATACTTTTACAGATAGAGCTACACGGCCGAAAATAAAAATTAGTTTCCTCGAAGCCGCGAGAATTTAGAAGAGAACCACAAACTATCGCGGTTTATTTATGGTCATCGTTTCCTCCTTTATTGATTTCCGATTTCTTCGTCTACGTATCGATACACGGAACGATGCACGATCGTGTACGACGGTGATGCACGGCAACGGTGTCCACGAACCAGTACACCTACATAACCCTGATCCACGAACACGAAAAACATTCAACGGTACTAATTTGCGCAGCTCGATGTATCAACTAACGCGATTACGAAATATCAATCGAACGTAGTCGTTCTACACCGATGATCGAATATCAAAAAGTTCAAAACCAATTAAAAATTCGTCGAACAAAGATTGTTTTGTATTTTTTCAGTGCCTACACACGTACACGTACACACACACACACACACTCTCTCTCTCTCTCTTATAAATTGCACACTGTGGCTATAATAAATGAATGTCTTACCTTAAAGGGTAAAGCATTCGCAGCATTGAACATTTGTTCCTTGACAACGAATGGCTTCGAATTTGTCTTTCTTCGCACCAAATAAACGGATCTAGAAACAACCAACGATAAACATGAACGTTTGCGAAGAAAATATTCGATCTAAATTATACATACCCAAAAGTACCTCGACCTAACAATGTCTCGAAAACATAATCGCTTATATGCATCGACATTTTTCACAAGAATAAATCGATACGATCGTTAAAACGAATAGCATCGAAGGCACGCGAACGATTTACACCTGCCGAACATGGACGAATGTGTATGGTTTCGTACCAACGCTAGGTGTACATATGTACATGCCTACAAACCCAAACATTCTGAAACATCGTATCGTATCCTACCAAAGTGTATGTACATGTATATGTATATACTTTCGGCTGAACTAAAAAAATAATCATTTAATTTCTCTTATCGATCGATTCTATCGTTCGACAGCTGTTTTTGTAACTAAACTCGTTTATCGTTTACGATTATAGTTACAAGGTCGGGATAACGAGATGCTAATTTGACCATTTTACCAATAGGTTGCTCCATTATAAATGTAGAATCGATCACGATTACAAAGCGTACGCAAGAATACAAAAAGTATATACGATACGAAAAAGAAGAACAATGGAAACTCGAGTCCGTTCTCGACATACGTTTTCAGCGTAGTACAGAATTGATTGGATACATACAATTATATTGTTGTTTAACCAAGTTTCAAGTATGAAGATTCTTATTGAATAATGCGTCTATCGTACACAGGCGCGTTCTACATTTTAGATCATAATATTAACGATCGTATAGAATGAACAACCGATCGAGTACATATTGGGAAAGACAAGTGTGGGGTTTCAACTTACGTGACGTAGTAGTTTTATTTGTCGTGTTGTACAAATAACGCAATAATGATGTTTCTAAAGCGTTTAGACGTATCGTATCGTACCACGAAAAGGAAAAGTCACAATAGCGCGGCTCATTATACCCAGAGGATCTAGAGTATTGGCGAACAACATCCGGCACGATAAGAGAAGATAAAGAGAACAGCTTCCGTTAGTTGATTTTCGTTAGCAATTAATCGTAAAATAATGCGAATAAAAACAAATCGTTCTCGATCTACTCTGGTACTTGAAAGGTGCAGCGGGACGATGTATGCATACATTTTAAAGTACCCGTGCATACACTGACCGAACTACAATTCCGAAATCGAACTGAACGATGAGTATGCTCACTGCGCAACACTTACACCAATGAAAAAAGCAAACCACCTTATACCCTAGTGCAATTCAGAATTAGATGATACCGCGATATATACAGTGTGTCCCATAAGATGCACTGCGTTTATCGAACGAGAAAAGCCTTAAATAAAGATAAAACGATTCTCGACGCTTATATAGGTTTACTGCAGTTTACAATATCGTGTATTACTAAGGCTGAATTTATAGTCATTTATCAATTAGAGATGCTTCCGTAATAAACTTTTTCGATACCTGTTGATAACTGTTTACGCTAACAGAAGAAAATATTGAATATTAAATATTTCGATTGAATCGCCCATTTGGCATCTGCGCGATAAAATCGAGACCGAATTGAATTCAATATATGCGCGATACCGGGATTTGAAGTTACCATTATGTTACGATCTGTGGTAAATAATTAAGTTTATTAGGCATGCATTCGGCTGAATCGTCGGTGATTTTATCTAGTATTTAATTGTGTAGCGACTCTATGAATTGCTTCATTTTTTATTTCGAACTACCTGATTTTTCAGATTTTTCGGATATATCACATCATCCTATGAAAAACGCTGCATACAAATGCACATATTTTGCTTCGGTATTCGTTTCAACTTTGTCGACAAGGGTTTTCAGAATTAACTGCTACTAGAATCTAATGTGTTGGTAGTATCGTTTCCGGAAGATGCCGAGTTCCGAGATTGTTTTAAGCTGTCCAGGTATTCTTGTTGCGATGTCGCCAGTACTTGTGACAGTACATGACTATCTTCCCAATCGGTCAAACCTTTTCACAAACAAACATACGCTTGTTATTTTAGTATCGTCGTTGCCGTTGCCGTTGCCGTTACCGTTACCGTTACCGTTACCGTTACCGTTACCGTTACCGTTACCGTTACCGTTACCGTTACCGTTACCGTTACCGTTACCGTTACCGTTACCGTTACCGTTACCGTTACCGTTACCGTTACCGTTACCGTTACCGTTACCGTTACCGTTACCGTTACCGTTACCGTTACCGTTACCGTTACCGTTACCGTTACCGTTACCGTTACCGTTACCGTTACCGTTACCGTTACCGTTACCGTTACCGTTACCGTTACCGTTACCGTTACCGTTACCGTTACCGTTACCGTTACCGTTACCGTTACCGTTACCGTTACCGTTACCGTTACCGTTACCGTTACCGTTACCGTTACCGTTACCGTTACCGTTACCGTTACCGTTACCGTTACCGTTACCGTTACCGTTACCGTTACCGTTACCGTTACCGTTACCGTTACCGTTACCGTTACCGTTACCGTTACCGTTACCGTTACCGTTACCGTTACCGTTACCGTTACCGTTACCGTTACCGTTACCGTTACCGTTACCGTTACCGTTACCGTTACCGTTACCGTTACCGTTACCGTTACCGTTACCGTTACCGTTACCGTTACCGTTACCGTTACCGTTACCGCTACCGTTACCGTCGATAACAATTATTATCGTTTGACAAGTATCGCCGAGACACGTACCGAATACCTCGGGAGGAAGACGATTAAACAACGAGATGTCTGGTGAAGCGTGAGCTTCTTTACTGCTGCCTGGCACGGGTTCTTGCGAGATTTTCTGTTCAAAGTCCGAGGTAAGGTGAGATATAGCTGATCCTTGAGCCGACTGATGCTGAGGCGATCTTTTGTTATATCTTACCGCATCGTTCACCTGAAATGATTCGTAAGTCAAATCCAATAAAACGTTTCACCAGCGTAAAACAAACCTTCGGAGAGTTGCGTATAGTGTCTTGGCTAGTTTGAGTCGTGGTTGGAGAGGAAGTATGGCTACGTTGTTGGCCACGACTTCCATGAGTGTGGAAATGCGTATGACTGTGTTGCGCGCTTGTCACCGTACTTGTACTGCTACTACTAGCTGATCGCTTCATTCAAAAAGCACAAATGTTAGTCTTGTCGCATTCCCAGCAGTTAGAGGACCGACATTATACGTATACTTACCGCTTTGCGCATTTCGTTATCCCTCAACCATTGCAAGTAACTTTCCCTAGCTACTTGCTCCTCTATGGCTTCGTTCGTTGCTTCCCAGTCGGTTGCTTTTATTTTATCTTCGAGCATCGTCTGTATCAAAATTTCAAATTCACCTCTAGTGCACTCATATAGAAATATCGATAAAATAAAGCGAAACATACCAAATAATTTCAGCGTGTCTGTACCTGTTCGATATGCAATTCTTCGCTTTGACGAACTGCATCCGATATAAGCTGTCGATCCGCGGCACCGGGATTATACGATGGTAGGCCAAGTCCAACACCAACGGTAGCCTTATACGGGTCTACTATGCTATTATAATGACTACCGCGTTGATAAGACAATCGTATGGGTTCGTTATCGCTTTCAACCATTGTATGGAAGATATTGATAGGTTCTGTAGAGAATTATAAATTCTATATTACAATATGCGACATTATATGTATAATCTACAAAATAAAATAGACGCGCGCGCATATACACGCGGTAACAGCAGATATCAAATAATATAAAACAGAAATTGAAACACGTTAAAACATACCGGTGCTGTAGCAATACAACTGTATGCTGCGATTATACATCTCAGACATTGCCTGCATTTCTATGTGGTTCCCATGAACGTATTCTTGTCGTTTTCTATCTACATACGTGCTAAAATCTTCCGCTACAAAATGCGAGAAAAACTCTTGATTGGAAGCCTAAAACAATCGAGGGTTCCATAATATATCTTCGATGACACGAATCGTATACCTATCAAATACTCACGATATAATCCATACAATGTTTCCGTACTACCCCATGCATTTCCTGGTCGCCGTATACTTGATCCGCAACAGCTCGGAATAGACACGCTCCGTCTTCGCCCATTTTCTTAACAATAAAGCCCATCTTACGCATTCGTTTCTCGAACCACCTGTCCCGCTAAATGCAATAAAGCAACACTGTTAACACCGTTTCTGTAATTACTTGAAATTACTTCGATAGCTCAAACTCTAATTGTATCCCAACCTCCTGCCATTCGGCCAAAGTAAGATTGTTTCCAGTTCTGCCAGTGTATTCATCTCCGCTATTGTAACCATTGGCTACTTCATGTTCTAAATTTGCAGCAGCTCCACCGATAGCCATTCGATTGTTAGTTATCACGCTGGCATCTGTGGCTAAGTAAGAAAATTTTTCTATTACTATGTTCGATCGTTGTAACATTTTACATCTATACCATCTAACTTATATCGCATCCTTGCATATTATTATAATAGCAAATTTTAAAAGACACACGATAACCGCTACCTTGTAGACCGCTGCAAGATGCCGTAGGAGGTGTAGCCTGTCTCTCTCGTTCCCTTTCCCTTTCTCTCTCTCTCTCTCTACCCCTATCCCTTTCTCTTTCACGCTTAGAACGCGAGTTTCTTCCGATGCAACCGCTAAAAGGTACAAATATAAAATAACAGAAACAAAAACATAGGTGGCAAAATACAGCTATCTTGAATATTTTTTAGTAAAGAGAACGGAACAAGTAGATCTTGTACCTGTGCGGACTCGCTCTTCGCCTATGACGTTTCCCATGGCTCGGTCCGCTGCCTTCTTCGAAATGTTTGTCTTCTCTTCGATCGACGCTTGTCTACAATACAATTGTTATTTTCAAAAATGGAGATTAATCGTCTCCTACGAATGAAAGAAACTTGCGAATCCTATTCGTGAAACAAATAACATGAATGGGATACATTTTCATTATAATCGAAGACAGGTGGATTGAGCGCAAAACAAGCATGAACCGAGATATGTTTTACCTCGTATGAACTACCCGTAAGCACTATAGAACCAGATCCATGATCGCTCTGAACTCCGTGAAGATCGACCGCAAAACCGTTTGACGCACGTACCTGTCACGAATCGCAAAAGGTCATTTGACGTTTGCTATTGCAAGTTCTATACGAGCATCGCGCTCGAATAGACTGAAACAGCTGCGAAGTGTAGATTTTTCATTCACCTGATATGGGCTGTTCGGTAACGCGATAGATCCAGAGCCATGCTCGTTTTGCACCCCATGAACATCGACTTCGGAAGTGCTGCCTCCTTCTCGTCTATCCTTCGAGGCGTTTGTCTTCTTCTTCGTAAGAATGGTCATCTTGCGTAATCGATCGTCGATAGTCGTTAGAAACGACGCTCTTTCGACAAGATCACGGACGAATGTTTCGCGAGCTTGCACTCACCGCACCTTACACCCCGTACTTCCTTCCTGAACGTAATCTCTATTCGCTTATTTATTATTATGCACTGCCAACGATACCTACAAAGTCTCTCTCGAGTACGTACGTAGACCGAAGAAACTTTCCGTTCGTTCTTCTACGACCAAACCACCCGTGGATCTGTGTCGGAACAATGTTGTTACACTGTCAACGAATACGACATGATACATCCGATAATCGACTGCTACATTAATTATTATTTCTTCGAATGTTTTGTCAAACAGCCATGACCACAATTGCACACATTGCCAGCCTGCTAATGCTACCAATCGGATGTACAATAATTTCCCTAACGTACATTCCAAAAATTCCTAGACGAACACTGTAAAATGTAACTAAAATCGGTTCTACATACATACGCGTATACATCCGTACATACCTTATATGTATCTTCTGCTGCATGCATGCGTACGAGACGCATGCAGCATCTGTACAGCAGTGTTCATATGTACGTGCCTATTATACGTGTATGCATACATAGTATAGGTATGTATACAAAATAATGTACATGCATAAGTGTGTACTTTAATCGACCGAAACTGAACCGATTGAAACAAATGTGAAAACATACTGACATACAATACGATTTACTACCTCGCGCGGCTTTATTCGCGTGTCGTATGCGATAATTTATGTTATGAATATATAATATAAATAAAAAGGGTCAGCTAGACGCTAGACACTCGAGAGCATAGTTAAAAGAATTACTTGGCCACTGGATACGAGCTGTCGAAAGATACTTGTATAAACTGTAAATATGTACACATTTCAAATCAAGAACCCAATGTATTGTATAAAATATATGTATGCACATGCATATGTATATTATGTGTAATGCCCTTAACCACATAACACAATACTTGATAATACCTATGTACGTGACTCGTAAATGTACTACATACGTGTAGTAATTTCTGAGACGACAGTTATTAGTGAAAATCTGTGTAGAAATAATTTTCTCGTGATTTCAGTGAGATACGTGCATCTTTCCAATTGAAATATCTTTCTGCAAGAAATGTAACCTATAACGTTTGTTTACGCAAACGTCGTGTACATTGTACGTACATGTGTATGCGTCGGAATTTGGAACGCAACCTCTCTGTCCAGTCCATTGAAACAAAATTCGGGGCACATGTTTATCATTTAAATGATTGCAGGTGTTGTGAAAACAAATTGTTCGAAATTGAGTATGGCAAATGAGTGCCTTAAAAGATCATGATCCCGATTACGGGCCTTCCGTTGCAAATAACGAGAAACATCAACGAATTTACGAAGAGAACGGTAACTTACAATATTATTCTTAATACAGAATCGATGATATGTTTCTTATTATTTCTTCATCGTGTAGAATATTTTGTATTAGTTTGTTGTATTCGCTTATCTTCTTAAAAGAAACTTAAAATTCCAAGTAAGGAAGGAGGGTAAGCGGAGGTGGGAGTAAGCAACATCAAAAGACTAAACTTTTATCCATATTTTCAGCAAGAAGCAATACCGCGAAGAAGATAACAGCCATTATCGAAAAAGAATTTTCCCTGGAGATAAATACGAAAGAGAAAGAAGTTTTAGAGATACAAGAAAGATTGCATAGGGCCTCGAAAGCTTTACATTTTCTACGATACGTTATAGTTGCTGATTTTTATAATCGCAAGCAATGTCAAAGTTCGCAAAATGGAGAAGCAAGACAAACCCAAATACATCCGGCGATAAAACAATTGATCGGTAAATCGCCGAAGGAATGCGGCAATTTGTTAGTTTCAACAAAGTCGACCGCGACAGCGCAAAGCAACGCAGACGATTTAATCGCATCTTGTCCAGATGATACGTGTCCTTCGACCGTAATTGTCTGTCCAACTACAAACCCGAATTCGCATCAACCCGAGAAGGGGACTTCCGTGAATGGTTCTTTTTTAAGAAAGAGGAACAATGATACCGGTGAACAATCACGACCAAAGAAAATACCACGATACATTCCACCTAAATCAGGAGTCCCAGAGTCCCCGTGTCCGTCGAGAGGTATCAGGCATAAAGTCAGAAAACGTATAATCATTGGAAACATTTCAAAGTGGATCCCTCCGGAATGGAGAGAAGACGCGGCTAGTCATAAATGGACAATGTACGTCCGAGGTAACAAAGATAATCCTGACATCGACGATTTCGTCGGTAAAGTCAGATTCTTTTTACATCCTAGCTACAGGCCTAACGACGTTGTGGAAGTGACGATACCACCGTTTTGCCTATCGAGACGCGGTTGGGGCGAATTTCCATTAAGAGTGCAGTTGCACTTCAAGAGTACGCTGGACAAGCCAATGGACATAATTCATCACTTAAAGTTGGACCGCACGTACACCGGTCTGCAAACCTTAGGATCCGAAACTCTGGTCGATATATGGATCTACGCGGTTCCTCGAAACTTGAAATTTGTTGCCCGATCCTGTTCGATCGATGACACCGATAAACCCGAAGCCAAAGCCGATGCCGAAATTGAAGTTGAAACAGGCAACGACACACGTTTCAAATTCAATGATAACACCAATGTCAATCCGAAGTTTCAGTTAGGCTCGACGAACGGGAAGTCGAGTGCGATTGTAAAACTCGAGGAAGGGGAAAGTTTGCAAGAGATCGACGAGGCTTTTCTAAATAACGAACGATCGCGATTTTATGTTGATCTTGACCATGACTACTGTGGTTCGAATCGTCTGGAAGAGAACTTAACTATCGATCATCGCTTATCGCTTAAAAAAGAAATTGCTCTGAAATTCAGGGATTCATCGACGACAAGCACAATCGTCGACGAAAATTTCGAGCAAGTGAAAATAAAGGAAGAAACGAACTCGACCGAGCCTTCGTTGTCGACAAAAAATGGACACAACCAAAATGGGACGAAAGCCCTTCCATCATCTTGCTCGAAACTACAATCAAACCTCTGTCCTTTGGAAATCTCGATACCCCCGTTGTTCGAGTCGTCGAACAAACATGTGTTGGTACTTGAGAACAACAAAACCATCACCGTGGACATCGGGATTTCGCGTAACGACGATCAAACTCGTAAGCCGAGCAAAGATTCGACGACAAAACCGAAAGTGAATTTAACCGTATCGTCGCGTGGCATCAGCTTGCTGAAGAAACCGTCGAGCAAATTAAGTTCTCAAAGTGAAACTCAGCCAGGGCTGAAACTCCAATTCCCCAAGAGTATACTATTGAACATGAATTCTAACGTGCCGGCATTAAAAATAGCTGAAAGAGGAAATCTACAGGACGATTATCTTTCCGATGCTGCTCGCAGAAAATCAGGACTTACAGAGGAATCCGCATCGGGATCAGAAAATCGAGAATGCACGAAGGAATTGCAACTACAATCTGCGCGGCAAAGGATCACTTTGGGCAAAGACAAGCACAAGCTGCAGAGCAGGAAAGAGTTCTACGACGGAGCGTTCCGCGCGATTCACTGCGCAAACATTGGAACTATTGACGGTCTGCTGAGATTTATTGTCAGACGAATGCCCATGGTGACTCGGGACGCTTCTGATTCGGATTACAAGCAGCTTCATCCTTATGCGTGCGCTACTGAAAAAGAATTCTTTGAATACACTGTCGGGAAAAGAACTGCCTGCGAATGGAGTCGAGCAAAAACCATACGATGCTTATTAAAGCGCAAGGCATTCTCGCAGGAGGAAATGTGGACCGTCAAAGAGATCATTATCTGGACAAGACTGCACGGGTACACACCTTTTCGTACAAATTTTTCGAGCGACCAGGTCAAAGGACCGAAGAATCTAGTCGACTCCACTCTTTCGAGGACTATCTTTACTTGTTCGGAACCCGAGGCTTTCTGTAAATGGCTTCAAATTTATCCGGGTCGTTCGTACGATCAATGGTTCGATTCTAATTCGCAACAATTTTACGAACATGACATCGAAGTAGATATCATCGACGAAACTTCAACGAAAGTAGGGAAAAACAACTTATATATAAATAGGGGCACGTATTTCAACAACGAGAATCTATTAGACCCCAAGATCGCTGTATTGGAAATGGAAACGAAATCGATACCGTTTCACGACTTCATCTGCGAAACAGCAAGAGAAATAGGCGTGAAATTGAATCATGAAGAAATTCTGCCCAGTGTGGTAGATTGTGCAGCCAGTCGGGCGATAATGAGAGTAAGGCATATTAAAAAGATTTCTTCGTTTCTTCCTCGTTTATTCTCGACAACAGTGTATTCTATCCATGTTATATTTGTTTTCTTTCCAGGCCATAGAATGCCTTGTGGACGACTTAGTTAGAATGTCTCTGGCAAAAGCTTGGAAAAGATGCGATAACGAGTAAGCAATCCTTCCTTATTCAGTACCCTTTTGCACATTCATATGTATACCTATATATATATATATATAATATACCATGTACATTCTGTAGAAAGTTCTCAATCATTTATTATGTTTGAATTGTAAATCTCTATGTGTACATACATAGCAAAACTTTGATGTATATGTATGTATGTGTGCATGTATCGTATCGTATCGTATCATATATCATATACCACACCATATACATATGTATACATATAGTATATCACGATGTCGCGACAGTTTTCGTTTATTTCGTAGATATCCGAAGATGATCGTTTTGGACGACGTACGTGGAGCTCTCTTAAACCGTGAAGAATTTGATATTTTTACGAATCAAGGATTAGGATCCAAATATCGACGAACATCAACAGATTGATCGATAAAAATACACGAGACGAGAATTTAGACACAATGAAACTCAAATAATATCGTTTGCTTCGACAATATATGCTCCAGTAACAGGCCTGAAAACGATAGCCTCGCACATGTACAAATGTCTAAATTTGAATAAAATACTTATATCGAGTTTCATACGAATAACCTTGTCAACTCTTTCGATTAATGAACTGTTCACCCTCTTTTTCTCTCGTCTTTCTTATCTTTACGTTACATTCGATCTACTAGAAATGTATCTCATTTTCAAACTAAAAATGATATATGTAGTTTTATATGAAGTATTTGTTCGTGTAGTTAAAATACCTAACTGCTACTTTCGTTGCTTTCATTTTCAGTTCATCGCATTATAACGTAGTCATTCTCTTGCAACGATGTTTCGGTCTGCAAGTGATGCAAAGTGATATCTTTTAGTCTTGGCGACATGGGGACGTAATTGCAAGTGTCCACAATCTTTTGTAATCCAAAACCTTTTCTTTCGGTCGCTCCTGAGTTTCGATTGGGCACTATCGATAGAATACCGCGTTCAGAAATCAATACATCTTGCGATCTTGAAGAATATAACAGAACAATGTACGATGAAACAATTAGGACGTGTATAACATTAAGCCTGATTGGTCATAAATACAAACCTGACGGCACTCTTCATAGACTCTGAGGCACATCTTTGTCGCGGTGGCAAAGGTGGAGGTTCGTGTGATCGACAGTTATGGAAAAATTGATCCGTACAAAAATGAGAAGTTGTTGCTTTACCACAGCCTACCTCGTCTGCAATTTCTTCATAAATCCCAGAAGCTACCGAAATATCAGAAATTCTTCTATTATAAGAGCTCGACCACTCTCCTCTGCTACCGGCAATGTTCGGGACACTGAATGGTTCTGGTTGATACAAATTTTCTGTTTGTTTATTATGAATTTTCAAGCTCGTTTCTTCGTGTTCTTCGGTACATTTTTTATTTGTGCTTAATATCCCGGCATCCATTCGTTCACTCTGAATAGAATAATTTCGTTGTATTTCTTCAAACTTAGATATTCTAAGATCTCCTTCGCTTAAACTTAAAGGTCTCCTCGTCGGTTTAGTTCTCGGACCACGACCTTGCGTTACTAAATCTTGAAGTAATTTGCTAGCTTCTAAACAAAATATATGCAGCTCACCAACTCCACCTCGGAATTCTTTAGTCGTATGAATTACACAAATGCATTTAACATCTTCTGGATGACCCATTGTACTATGGTGAAACTGACTTAATTCTTTCCATTCGAATGTTTCTATCGCCTCACCCGTGTGGTCATCCTTAATGAATACTCCTTCCGCTGTGACTACTAAATCACCATACAATCCTGTAAAATTATAACAATATTTAGAAATATAATCAAATTGTGCATAAAATATTTAGAATCAAAACATTGTTCTACCAATAAGTCCCGCTGCTTTGGAGTGTGCATTATCCGTTATAGATATGCTATGAGATCCTGGCAAACGCTGATTCTTTCTAGGTCTCAATAGTTGCCTCATATTTGCCATCCATCGTTGTGATTCTGTTTCTGAAGTACCCGCAAAGTATATCAATGGCTTTCTTTCTTTAGTAGGAAATATGCCAAAGGCAAACTGTTTAGACCTAGATTGAGTTCGACAAATAATAATATCCGATGGTATTATCAACGAACTGTCTTTATCATTTGGCGATGTATCAATGTCATGGCTAATGTTATAATCTAATTGTATTTTGACACCCAGACCAGGGCCTAGTTTCTTTATGGAACACCATCGTCTTCTCCAAACCTTCCAAGGAGCCAATGTCCTTTTCCTTACTTTGTGAACTTTACATTTACCATTAAAATACTTAACATCTAAAAATCCACAAATCTCAGCATTTTCTTCTATCATTGTAGCACTTATTCCTGAGAGGTATCTGAAGAATATGAGTAATTGTTTAATTAATGTATTGTAATAGCATAGAAACAACGATCGGAAACATGGACGAAAATATAATTAGAATCATTAAAACATTACCTCGAACCGATTCTTAAACGGATATTACTTCAAACATCTTAATATGCATAGTGTAGTTTCACAGGAGACGTAATTTATCTTTTTGTTTTTGAGAACGAAAATTCAAACAATAACGACATTTCAATTTAAATATTGAATCTTAACGGTGAAACTCTTCAAATGCAATGGATTACGGTATACTTATTGACAGACAAACGCCCGGGCACTTTCCGCACAGTTTATCGTTTGTGTTATTGTTTACTAAATGCAGACGCATCAATATACACATGTACATATTACGCATACATGCATGCATGCATAGATACGTGCATACATACTACATACATACATACATGCATGTATANATAATTTCGTTGTATTTCTTCAAACTTAGATATTCTAAGATCTCCTTCGCTTAAACTTAAAGGTCTCCTCGTCGGTTTAGTTCTCGGACCACGACCTTGCGTTACTAAATCTTGAAGTAATTTGCTAGCTTCTAAACAAAATATATGCAGCTCACCAACTCCACCTCGGAATTCTTTAGTCGTATGAATTACACAAATGCATTTAACATCTTCTGGATGACCCATTGTACTATGGTGAAACTGACTTAATTCTTTCCATTCGAATGTTTCTATCGCCTCACCCGTGTGGTCATCCTTAATGAATACTCCTTCCGCTGTGACTACTAAATCACCATACAATCCTGTAAAATTATAACAATATTTAGAAATATAATCAAATTGTGCATAAAATATTTAGAATCAAAACATTGTTCTACCAATAAGTCCCGCTGCTTTGGAGTGTGCATTATCCGTTATAGATATGCTATGAGATCCTGGCAAACGCTGATTCTTTCTAGGTCTCAATAGTTGCCTCATATTTGCCATCCATCGTTGTGATTCTGTTTCTGAAGTACCCGCAAAGTATATCAATGGCTTTCTTTCTTTAGTAGGAAATATGCCAAAGGCAAACTGTTTAGACCTAGATTGAGTTCGACAAATAATAATATCCGATGGTATTATCAACGAACTGTCTTTATCATTTGGCGATGTATCAATGTCATGGCTAATGTTATAATCTAATTGTATTTTGACACCCAGACCAGGGCCTAGTTTCTTTATGGAACACCATCGTCTTCTCCAAACCTTCCAAGGAGCCAATGTCCTTTTCCTTACTTTGTGAACTTTACATTTACCATTAAAATACTTAACATCTAAAAATCCACAAATCTCAGCATTTTCTTCTATCATTGTAGCACTTATTCCTGAGAGGTATCTGAAGAATATGAGTAATTGTTTAATTAATGTATTGTAATAGCATAGAAACAACGATCGGAAACATGGACGAAAATATAATTAGAATCATTAAAACATTACCTCGAACCGATTCTTAAACGGATATTACTTCAAACATCTTAATATGCATAGTGTAGTTTCACAGGAGACGTAATTTATCTTTTTGTTTTTGAGAACGAAAATTCAAACAATAACGACATTTCAATTTAAATATTGAATCTTAACGGTGAAACTCTTCAAATGCAATGGATTACGGTATACTTATTGACAGACAAACGCCCGGGCACTTTCCGCACAGTTTATCGTTTGTGTTATTGTTTACTAAATGCAGACGCATCAATATACACATGTACATATTACGCATACATGCATGCATGCATAGATACGTGCATACATACTACATACATACATACATGCATGTATATATATATATATATATATATATATATATATATATATATATACATACATCGAACGTGATTCGATCACGTTTGTTCCCTCAATGGCTAAGCAAGTCAGGGCTCGGAATTTAACTGCACATAATAGAGAGACAGAGCATTTTCGCAGACTGTTTTAAAATGTGCTGCAGAGTGGCATCATCCAATCCCATTTGTGAGATCTCTCCTGCAGCATATATCAGAGGGGTCTTCGAAAATGCTTTGTCTCTCTCATGTAGAGTTAATTTCGAGTCCTGGCCTAAGTTGTATTGAATGTATGCATGTATGTAATGTATGTTTGTTGCACTGTACAAATCGTACTTATTACGGTTGACGATTTTTAAACGGTTTTACAATTTCATACATAGAAGTGTGGACATTTTACGTATTCATATATTGTGATGAAGAATTTGAATCCATAATTGCTGTCAAGAACATCATCGTCATGAATCTCGACGATAATAGTGATGTTTACGGTCTTATAACCCAATTGAGTAGACACATATTGCAAACATATCGACAGCCTTTTCATGAAAACCAACGATTTACTTACGATCATGATAATAAAATGATTAAATGTCTTCGAAGCAGAGCTTTTGAAATATTATTACAAAATGTTGGTGAGAAAACTTTTATAAAAAATAGTCTGAACGTTTGGATGTGTACAAGTGATGTTGCAGTGACATCTGATTATTTTACAATTTCATTATTGTATCTTTTCCGTTAGATTACGAAGATCTTGAACAGGTAGATCCGATACTTGAAATACAAAAGCATGTCTTTGTAATGAAGTTGAGATTAAGGCGTTTGTGCGAAGCTTCCACATTACGAAGACTGTTGGAGGAACTTGAAGAGCATACTTGCTTGAGAGCACCGGTTCATTCTGTTCTACAGTTATTAGTTCAATTAAAAACTTTTAATATTGTTCATGAGCCATTCACGGTAAGTTTAAAGCTTCGGTTAAATGTAAGAGACTATTTGAAAATTCATTTGTTTCAATATTCTTTGTTTACAATGTCTAGAATATATTTTATTACGGCAAAGCTAATCCTGCTGTACCTGAAATCATGTACGCTTCCAATAATATATCATCTTTCCAAATATATCCTATGGAATGTTTTATGTTATCGGATAAATTTGAAATAACATTAGAACCTGAAAGGCTACAGATTATGCGCATTATACCAACTACTGTTATGAACGAGTTACATTTTTTACATGGAACAATAAAGTCCAAAGGCACAATCGACACAGGGTCTGTAAAGCTAGTCATGCAAAACTTACTCTTCTCTTTTGTTTGTAACAGTTTTAGCATTACTAATCTTGCTTTTTTATACCACAGCATATCCGTTGCGTCTGATTTTATATCGACCCATACATTCGATATGGAAATAGTGGTGAGAAATAAGTTTTACCGTTAAATCATACCTATAAAGAGTGTAGAAATTGAAAAAGTTTTAAAATAGCGTTCTGTTTTAGCCATACGGCGGTGAAAAGGAATCTAAATACATCTTTTCTGGTGGAAAGGGTCTTGTAGTTAACAATTCGTGTTTCTCGTTTTCCCGCTCGGAAGCAGTTACCACAGAAAACGAAAGTCTTTCAAATACCAGGAAGTCTTCTGATCGCAACCTCGTCGATGAATTAGAATATGCTATAGATTATTGGGATCACAACTGGAAACACACCGACATAACAGACACATCCCTTTTCAATCGTCGTACATGGGAACGATTTGGAGATATACAATGTGAAAAAGAATTAACGTTTATAACCGATTTATCAACAGCTTCGATACATTTAGCAAAAATCAAGCAAATGAATAGCTTATCGTTGCTTTCGGAAAAGGTAAAGCATATTTGTTTACGTTCATTCTTTAATTACTATGTATTACAAGTTTGCTAATAATTGTAGCATAATAGTTCAATGATTTGTTTAATGTAGCTAATAAATTCTGTAGTCCTCGAGGAAGAAATTCCAATACGAAACTTTGTCGACGATATGAAATCTATGTTACTTGGAATAGAGTCGAATACCTTTTACTATGCACATAGGGTATGTAAATCAATGGATTAATCGATGATAAACTTACCGATCGAACGGTATATATAGTATACATATATCTTGTTAATCTGAATTTCATAGACAGGATTTATTTTACGGGAGAATGTCAATGTCTATGGCGTAAGCTCAGAATTGTTAGGAAAAGCTTGCCAAGAAGCTATCAATTGGGGTAATTGTTTTCGATTCTTATCGCACTTTATTACGCCAAAGTTACAAAGTGGCAAGTCATTGCAAGAAGGTCTTATATTTAAGGTTTGAGAGAAATTTCTATCAAAAACAGAAAGTGGAAATTACAATAGTCAAATAATTCAGTCCATCGTTCCATAGGCTGTGTGTGCAAATATCAAGGAACTCCTGCTTCATTATCAAGTCGCGCTTGTAAGAATTTTTAACGACGAAACAAATTCGGGCAGGTTGCTGAGAATGTTTCAGAGGGTGCGTCCAGTAGCCAGCTTAATCACTAAAGTTGCCAAACTGTGCGAACCTTACAAAGAAAGTCAATATACGCTTCGGGAAGGAAATAGCATTATTGCTAGAATTTATAATGAAGCAGTTCAAGTGACAAACACGAAAGCCGCTTTGGTAATCTATTCTTTGCTGAAAGCTTGCTGCGATGTTTATTTTCGGTACATACATATATATACATACACAATNAATTGAAAAAGTTTTAAAATAGCGTTCTGTTTTAGCCATACGGCGGTGAAAAGGAATCTAAATACATCTTTTCTGGTGGAAAGGGTCTTGTAGTTAACAATTCGTGTTTCTCGTTTTCCCGCTCGGAAGCAGTTACCACAGAAAACGAAAGTCTTTCAAATACCAGGAAGTCTTCTGATCGCAACCTCGTCGATGAATTAGAATATGCTATAGATTATTGGGATCACAACTGGAAACACACCGACATAACAGACACATCCCTTTTCAATCGTCGTACATGGGAACGATTTGGAGATATACAATGTGAAAAAGAATTAACGTTTATAACCGATTTATCAACAGCTTCGATACATTTAGCAAAAATCAAGCAAATGAATAGCTTATCGTTGCTTTCGGAAAAGGTAAAGCATATTTGTTTACGTTCATTCTTTAATTACTATGTATTACAAGTTTGCTAATAATTGTAGCATAATAGTTCAATGATTTGTTTAATGTAGCTAATAAATTCTGTAGTCCTCGAGGAAGAAATTCCAATACGAAACTTTGTCGACGATATGAAATCTATGTTACTTGGAATAGAGTCGAATACCTTTTACTATGCACATAGGGTATGTAAATCAATGGATTAATCGATGATAAACTTACCGATCGAACGGTATATATAGTATACATATATCTTGTTAATCTGAATTTCATAGACAGGATTTATTTTACGGGAGAATGTCAATGTCTATGGCGTAAGCTCAGAATTGTTAGGAAAAGCTTGCCAAGAAGCTATCAATTGGGGTAATTGTTTTCGATTCTTATCGCACTTTATTACGCCAAAGTTACAAAGTGGCAAGTCATTGCAAGAAGGTCTTATATTTAAGGTTTGAGAGAAATTTCTATCAAAAACAGAAAGTGGAAATTACAATAGTCAAATAATTCAGTCCATCGTTCCATAGGCTGTGTGTGCAAATATCAAGGAACTCCTGCTTCATTATCAAGTCGCGCTTGTAAGAATTTTTAACGACGAAACAAATTCGGGCAGGTTGCTGAGAATGTTTCAGAGGGTGCGTCCAGTAGCCAGCTTAATCACTAAAGTTGCCAAACTGTGCGAACCTTACAAAGAAAGTCAATATACGCTTCGGGAAGGAAATAGCATTATTGCTAGAATTTATAATGAAGCAGTTCAAGTGACAAACACGAAAGCCGCTTTGGTAATCTATTCTTTGCTGAAAGCTTGCTGCGATGTTTATTTTCGGTACATACATATATATACATACACAATATATATATATATATATATTCAGTAAGAACTGAATAAGTTGATACGTTTAGCTGTAAAACATATGTCTTCTAATGAAATAATTCGTAGGTTTCTGCAAAAATGGATGTTTGAAGGTGTATGCGACGATATTTATGGAGAATTTATGATTAAAACGCGACCACAATATTTACGTAACAGGGACCATAAGTTTTGGACGAAAAGTTTCAGTCTTCGAAACGAAGCTATTCCAGGTTTTCTGAACGTTTTAACGGAATCGATTCTCCAATGTGGGAAAACAGTGAGACTTTTACGAATCTGTAGTGCAAAGGTACGCGTCGTATCGCATAGGCATACTGTAAGACAGTATCGTATAATTCTATAATTGTAGTATCAATTATATGGTACAAACCACATTATACTGATTTCATAACGGGACCTTAGAATCCCGTGTGCCGTGTTTGTCTAACCGAACAACCCGAAGTGAAGGTTTGCTTGAGCATAACAGCGTTATACGAACAATCATTAAGGTACCGTAACTACGAAGAGAAAGGTAAGTGCGCTCTTGGCCCGATACTTTCACTCTCCACGGTTATACAAAGCAAAAAACAACTGGAGAAAGAAATGGCTGAGTTTGTCGCACGTGCCCAACGCGACACACTCACGAGAATCAAGGGTAAGCTTCAGATTTTTCTTCTCTTCGGAACTTTGCTTCCCGCTTGTGTGTGTGATTCTAAATCGAACGATTTTAGGAGAACGAGAAGCAGCGTTGAAGAGGATGGCACAAATGAAACGCGACTTTCTGACAAATTTGAAAGAGCAATGTTTGGTTATCGAAACACAGAAAAAGAACAAGAATAGAAAACAGAAGAAAGAAAATGTAAACGAATCTTACGATACAGAACTTTTATTTGGACTTGGTACACAAGAAAATTCACAACGCATCGAACGGTACGATAAATTTTCTGATTCAACGTACTTTGAACGTACCGTTTTGTTAAATTATTCTTAGGTAATCTTCCAGAAAGTAGTCCGGATTATTAAGTAGTCTTTTTCTTGTCACAGAACAAATATTCTCAATTACTATGAGAATCTGGCACTCGATATCGATAGACGTTATATACGTTCCCAATGGCGTGCGAAAAGAATGGCATTCTACGATAAGAGAGTCGATCTATTAACATCGACGAAACACAATTCGCAGAACCAGTCGAGAATTATAAAAAATACAGAAGATAATAAAGAAGAAGAGGAAATAGAAGAAAATAAAGAATACGAAGAAGAAAAAGCTGAATCCATCTCAATATCGAGTCCTTTGACAGAGTTATCGATACCGTTCGAAGACGAAAATAAAAATTACTCGAGAACGTCTTGTCAAACAATCGTTCGTACAACGTTTGTGGACATAACGATGAATAATAACAACGGAGAGAACAATATTTGTGATATTTTGAACAACCGAAGCAGAAAAGTAGAAGAGTCAAAAAATAACAACCACACGACGGGACCAATTGCCATTGTCACGACTGACACCAATCGGTTGTACACCGACTCGAATACGACGGTACCATACAACATCGCGTCGACCCTTGTTACAGTTGAGAGACCGAATATCTTGAACGTTGTCAAAATTAATAATGCACCGGATGGATCGTTTGTAAATAAAGACTCGGCATGGTCTTTAGAAGGTAATATGACACCAAATAATAATGAAATCGACATACAGAAATTTCGGATTCCATCGAATTCGAGCGATTCGTCGAGAAATGTTGTCGAAGATGGCACAGATATGCCGAACGAGAGAAACGACTTGGAAACGCCCATGTCCTGTACGACAGACAATTTTCCTTCATCGGCACAAAGTCCTACATCAGAAACAGATCGATCGGACCGATCGCCCATCGAGATCTCAACTACCGATATGTTATCCAGTAACTCTCGTACATTTACAAAATCGCCTACTATCATGAAAAAAGATGCAACGTTTTCCGATGTATTCGCATTGCAACAGGACGAACCAACAACGACGACGACAACAACAACAACAAACGGCGCATTATCGAAAACAATTCCTTTGACAGTTGCCGATATCGAACTGATCGATCATACTTCTCTGCAAGCTTATCTGGAAAAATCGATTCGTATTCCTCTCGAAGTGCAAAGCCGACTCGTTAACAATGCTGTTATTAAATACTTTGTAGAGGAAAATAATTTACTATTGCACTTGCATAGCCTAAGAAGTTATTTCTTCTTGTTAAACGGAGAATTTGCTAAGAGCTTGACGGATTCACTGTACACTCGTCTGTACGAGATCTCATTACCGGTTGAATTATTTAATTCCGCTACGTTAACCAATCTCTTGGAACGAGCACTTGTTAATTCGTTCAATAGCGTTTACGTAAATTCAGAACTTCTTAGTCTTTCGGCGATAAACGCGCCAATGCAGTTACATGTAAGCGATCATTCTATAACATTGCGACATGTTGTTCACCCATATCTATGTATACTTCTGTTGCTATGACCTCGCCTACACTTCGTAGATGTCCGATCCAGCTGCGTTGGACTGCCTTTTGCTGAATTACAAGATAGCTTGGCCACTGAATATTATACTCGATGAAGCAGTTATGCAACAATATGGTAAAATATTTAAATTTTTAATAACAAGCGGCAGGGTATCGTGGGTGTTACAAGAAGATTTCAATATCATGAAGAGAGAACGGAAAACGTTTGCGTCACCACAATATCATAAGGTGACCGTCATGCTCACGGACCACTATCCATTTACATACCACATACGTATATGTGTATATATATATATATATATTAAATATTCTATATTCTGCATTACTCCTTTACATTAGAACGATGCTTGTATCAATTTGTTCGCAGTTGCAGCTTTACAGACATTCGATGACGCAATTTATGAATGCACTGCATAATTATTTAACGTGCAGCGTCCTATACGCTAGTTGGACCGAATTTGAGAAAGACTTGGAAAATTCGTTGACCCTGGATCAAATATATTTGTCGCATGTAAATTACATAAAACGTATACTTTCAAGGTAAGGAAGCTTACCTCTGAACAAATTAATGAACTTCTTCCTTACTTCTTTTGTTTTACAGATGTATGCTCAACGCTCGTGGTGAAAAAGTACGCGTCTGCTTAAATAACATATTTAAAGTTATCTTAAAATTTCACAATAGATTACGATCCCAAACTTGGATAATGAAATCCACGGTATACGTACATCCGAATTTTAAGAGATTGGAACAACTGTATCAAGCATTCTGTGAATTACGCGCATATATGGCACATGTCGCATTTAAATTGGCTACTAGCGGTTATCAACCACATTTAACGCATTTCTTAAATGCTCTCAACCTGAATCATTTATACGATTTAACAGTAAAATCTTGTCGCGGATCTTCGGCGGAACCTTCCGAATTATAAAACGCTATGAATCGACCTATCTTCTTTAACGTTTCCACTTTTCGTCATAAATTGCAAACCGTAATCAACTAAAATGAACAAAAATTAGAGAAAGAATTCAAGGGAAAGGAAAGAGAGATTGATAAAGTTGGTGATGCTGCTTGACCGTGAATAATTACGTTAGCGTACTTTTTTCTTAGCGATCTCCATGGCTTTTAAGGAGCGAAGATTCGTTTTTAGCAAGTATGTTGGCACAACGCGGACACAAACAGTCTTGTCCATCTTCAGGATACCTCCTGCAGCGATCGCATAGCACTTTTTCGATAGCCTTCGTTTGAATTTGCGTTTCAGTTACGGTTTGATTTTCAATCAAATTTATCGAAGATACTTGTAAAATTTCGCACAATTCGGACGTCGATTCCTCCCCGTTATCGTGCAGAAGCTGAACGAAATAAAAACTCAACATTAGATCATATCCAATGTACTCTCTATGTATTCCCTGCGTCGCTTGTTCCGTTCAAACCCAATACTTACAGAAAGCCAGTGGAAATCGTCTTTCGTAGCTTCTATAGTAACTGATAATTGCCATCTATTCGTATCGACAGCACTTTGAAATTGTTTCCTTATACGAAGCGCCGCGTCCACACATTTTACGATCGTCGGGTCATTCCAAGATTCTGGTATCACGTACGTGGTATGGTAGAAAGGTATTTTACTTTCATCGCGATTTTCTGGATGGTGCAACCATGCTTCTTCGACTAGATGCGGTACAATCGGAGTTATAGTTCTCAAAAGAATGACCAATGTTGCTCTCACAACTTCGATAACCGCAATACGCAAGGGTGACGTAATTTCATCGCAATAGAGCCTGTCTTTTATAAGAAAACAGTACAAAGCAGACACATCGTTTACAATGAAATTCATAATTGTTTTAGCGGCGTGTTGATATTTGTAGCCATTATAATGTTGCAGCATCTAACGAAATATAAAGTTATTGAAAAGCGTCATTATTATTCGTCTTAGGTAAAATTGTAAACTGAAAAAGATGAAAGTTTTTACCGTACCTGTTCGTTGTAATGATACAATCTATATAACATATATTTGTCGATGGCTCGGTACTGTGGTTCACAGTGCACATCTTGATGATACGAATGTAAAGCGCCCAAAAGGAATCGCAGTATCGAACGTATTCTAAAGATCGACCGTTTGCAACCATCGAATAATGTTTTCGAAACGGGCACCTTTAAGTGCTGGGATCCATGACTAGCCACCCACCACCTTTGCAAGATAAATGATAAACCGTTCGATTTAAACCTTACAGTATGCCGCGCGTAACAGAATTATATTAATTTACCTTAAAACATCGACGCCATAGATTGGATTCTTCTCCAAATTCACTCCACCTAAGAGAATTTCTTCAGGATTGGTTACATTTCCCATCGATTTTGACATCTTTGATCCATCTTCGTCAACTGCGAATCCATGCACGAACAGCGCACTATACCCAAATAAATCAATTCCTTAAGACTTTATTCTCAGACACGTTTCTCCGAATTCCAAATTGTTGGACGTTCTGTTTACCGATATGGCGAACAGCCTTGTAAAGCTACAGAAGTTATCAACGATGACTGAAACCAACCACCGAATTGATCGTGTCCCTCTAAATAAAGGTTCGCTTGGCTTTTTGGTAAAACTGCTGACCACGATATACCACTGTCGAACCAAATATCCAGAATATCCTAAGAAAAGCATTCGCGTCGTCAGTCACAAATTAAAAATAGAAAAGGCAAACGTTTCTGTGTGAAAAACTTTAGGTAGAGTACATACTACTGTCCACCAAAATATTTACCTTTCCTTTTTCCACGTTGTCTATTGAAACATTCAACTGTCGAAACACGTCTGATCCTATCAGCTCTTCCTCGGAATATTTCCACCAACAGTCGGGACCGTGCTGATCGATCGAATCGCACAGACGTTCGATCAATGCTCTAAACGTAGGTTTGGGATAAATCAGAAAACGATAATAACAAATGCAGCTCTATATCATATAATATATTAATATTATATATGTATGTATATAGAATGAGACGTCATATAACTTGTAATATATCAAAATAAAATCAAAATTAAAAATTGTGTTTAATACAGAAATTTTAAATGTTAAGATATATTTTTCTCATTGTAGATCGAAAGAATGTTAAAATTCAAATAGAAAAATTAAAATTAAATGTGTTGATCCTAAACTCAATGATTAACGAGACTTTGGCAAATGAACAACTTCTCCGACAATGCCTCGCGACTTATCTTAAAATCTCGTTAATTATTAAGTTTAGGATCAACATAGGTTTATATATATACATTTCTACTTAAGATTTAATATTCTTTTAATTTACTTTGAGAGAAAGTTATACGAAAAAAATGAATACGACATCACTCCCTCCCCCTCTGGTTCCCTTATAACTCTACGACATCTGTATTCAACGATCTTTAATTAGATGCATAATTTAAAAGTTACTTGGGATGTGCAAGTCGTGCGACTCACTTTGTATACATAAATGTAATAAATATAATACGTATAAAATATTTCAAATATACCTGCTCGTAAAGGGTTTACCGGTTGTTTTATCGTAAAACACAGGTATAGGTGTCCCCCAGGAACGTTGTCGTGAAATACACCAATACGGTCGATCTTTTATACCAGCGACCAGAGCATTTGTAGAAGATGTACGATTGTTTTCAGGATATATCTCTATGTCCTTGATACTGTCCTTAAGAAAATATGACACACTTGATTCCATCGATCATCTATCGTACGAGCCTTGAATCTTTATCTATCTAGCAGAACAAATGATATACCAAAAAGAATGTCTTACAATAGCTTTGTCCCTCACAGAATTTATGTCGAAGAACCATTGATTGCTAGCACGGATAAACACTGGCTGTTTTGTTCGCCAATCGTAAGGGTAACTATGCGTGAACATTTCGACATGTAACACATCTGTCGCGATATTCTGTAATACTTTATCCGTGCCTTCTGTTAATACGCTCAGTCCTTGAAATTCTGGACCAGCTGCTTCGGTAAATCGACCTTCCGAATCTACCATGGATACCTGCAGTAAGTCTTACGTATCACAAATGATTATCAAAAGTATTTCAAGATATTAGTGCGAAACTGTTAGCTGCAGCAATATTTAATAATCACTTACAACAGGCATTTTATTCTCTAGCGCGACTAAAAAATCTTCCCGACCATGTGCGGGGGCAGTATGAACTAGACCCGTTCCTACATCCATCGTCACGTGTTGCGCAGCTAAGAAGGGCAATTTTTTTTTCTCGAAGGGATAAAAATATGTGGTACCCTTCAGTTCTTTACCTGAAACCGATTATTACCGATTAAGCAGACATTTCTTTCCAAAGTACTCGAATCATCTCTATCCTTCGTTGCAATCTATAATAACAGTCAAGCAACTAACTCTACCTTCAACACGCATTATAGGCTTCAGTTGACCGATTTTGAGTTCAATATTTTTCAACAACTCTTCTCCAAAGATATTCAAGTTTCCTCCGGTATCTTCGGCGACGCAATACACACCATCAGTTTTAAAACAAATAGCTTGATTGGCTACCAATGTCCAAGGAGTTGTAGTCCATGTAAGCGCATATGTAATACGATTTTTTAATGAGTTCAATTTATCCGGAAACTCATCGATGCGTAAACGAACGATCGCGCTTTTACTTTGATGCTTTTCATTATATTCCAATTCAGATTCTGCCAGTGCTGTTCTGCAACATAACAGTATGAAACGAATTTTTTAATTCTTGTAAGCAACGTCCGATACCAAATTTCTATTATACCTAGAAGAAGCTGACCAGTAGACAGGCATGAAATCATTAAATATAATATTCCTTTCGTATAACTGTACGAATTGGCGAAGTTGATTTTTCACATACGAAGACTGATTCGTAAGGTAACATTCTTTCCAATTGGCCATAATGCCCCACGATTGAAAGGCTTGTCTCTGTTGAATAACTGCTTTTTCCGCGTATTCACGAGCTGCAATTATTAAAGGATAAAACTAAGATACAGCAATAAGAATTAATGTCATTTGGACACGTTTGTGCTTGGAATTCTTACCTTGTTGCCTGATCGCTAGAGGCTCTTGCATGTTTATGTCTTGAAGAGCTTTCATTTCGATCGGTAGTCCATGACAATCCCAACCGGGGACATAATGAACGCGTTTGCCCTGCAAAACATTATGCCTGGATGCGATGTCTTTAAGTATCTGTAACATAATGGAATTAATCGAAATAAATACGGTACAAACATTGTAGAGAAGTTGTCACCTTGTTGATAGCATGTCCCATGTGTGGAGTTCCATTGGCGTAAGGAGGTCCGTCGTGTAAAATAAATTCTGGACCGGACAGATTTTTTCTTTGCCATTCGTATAATTCGGAAAAACCGCATTTCTACGACGAACGATAACCGGGTGAATGAAAAATTATGCAATTTCATTAAGATTGTTTGTAATTTCCTACCTCTGTTAGATATTTGTCTTTCTCTATTCGTTCTTTTCCATTAATTTGCACTGGAAATCGAGTTCGTGGAAGTAGAACTGTTTCCGAATACTTGTTGCGCTTTTTCAATGTGCCTTTTACTCCGACATCACGAGTTATTTTCTCGTGAACTTTATTTTTCGTTTGACTGGTGAACAACGTGCGTTTCTGTCCAATTAAAAGTCGCAACATGTTTACAATTTTACAACGCGAACAAGTTCCTATTTTATGATCAGTTACACGTGCCCACATGGATTTATAGTTTAAATCTACAAACCGAATTTATACTACATACGTACACGTGAGTACTTATGTATGCATGTATCGTTTGGGTTCTTTTAACCAACAAGAATATGAAATTAAATGCATATACATACATTTGCACATGTACAATGTAATGTATTTATGTACGTTCGATTATTGGAAACGAAGTCAATTATTATTGAGATCGAAACATGTTGTAATGTACAATGCGCATACATACACGTGCGATGCATAAAGAAAATTTGGAAAGAAAGAGAAAGCAATATGCGTGTATAATAGACAAGGAACCGAGGTGTATGACGATAGGTAGGTTAGTCCGTTCTTGTTCGTTCCAACTGATCCGATTTCGGACTTCAGTAGTGTATGCAGTTAATATTAATATTTAATATCGAAGAACTATGGCTACACTTTTCGAAAGCTCGTTTTTATCGAGCAGACTGCATCGCATCGAAGAACGATACGAAGAACCGGCAAACACTTTTGGCAAATGCGACTCCATTAGCTATAGGTATCTTTTCCTGAGTGTCTTCCTATTCGCCATTGGTACCGCTATCACTACTTTGGGCGACCTCGGCGAGAAATGGTTCATCGGCCCAATGTTTATTTGTTCCGGATTTATGGTGGCTGTCAAATGTATGCTCTACCTCCGAAGAAAATCCGTCATACAAATGATCTCTCGTCAACGACAGTTGTTTATGGTAAGTAGCAGCGAGTAGCACCTGTTCGTATTGCGGCTTTTTTCTCGTTTCCATGATTTTTCATCGACAACGATCGACGATTGCTTTAACAAACTTACCGATACAATACCCACACTCGTGCTCTCGCTTGCAATTGCAAGTTGCAACTTATACCACGGTTTTTCCCTTGTTAAATCAATATTCATAGTCAGTTATCGCGCACCGTTTACCATTTACACAATTAATACAATTGCGGTTATATCGATCATTTACGATTCGAGTCAACGTTTACACGTTGCACGTTCGCCTAGGTACATATCTACATTTGTACGGTCGTATGATGTATGCATGTATGCATGTTCAAATATGTACGCGGCAAGCGCGGCAATTACTTGAATTACAATGTATGTATACATATGTTTGTACGATTTGATATTCGATAGACCGGAGGTAGATGTATGTACAAAGTTTGTTGATGTACAGGATTGCATAGATTCTCGATTGATTCAGCATAGGATACATGAATCGACCGGTACGCGTGTCATGGAACCAATCAGTTCAACAACGTCGGGACTCGAAGGCGGATTGCCCTCGTACGAGGTAGTCGTTCAAGAAGTTCCAGAATTACCCCCGCCGTCTTATGCAGAAGCATTAGAAGTGATTTCCAACAAAACTCTTGTCAACGGTAAATCCTTTTTAAATGACTTTTTCCGTTGTATTTTTCTATAAGATGCTAAATCGATGAAAGAAATTTTGTTCTATTTCAGACGCAAAATCGAGTCGTGGAACGATATCCGATGGGAATGTTGCCGTAACCGAAAATACCAGAGAAAAACCGTGAAACCGGCATTGCTTTCGATCAAAAGATCCAGGATCACGACTAATTGTAACTTAACTGTTTCCTACTTAATTGCGAAGGATCGCTCGTTTCTTTATCTGTTCGCTATGCTAAATAAGCGTTCATCCTTCAGAACAGATTACGAATTTGACGTGTACATAATGTCATTTGTATCGCATTGTATAGTATGTATTTATTAACAACGACAAGGAACAAAGCGTGACGCGTTCGAAATTTACAGAAGAAATTGAAAACACGGCGATACTGCTAGCCTTACTTTGACTTCTTTCTTTCAAAAGAGTTTGCTGTTTACACGGCATAACCGATAGAATTGTTCCGACTCGATGGAACTAACGACTCGTATGGATACAATTCGATTGTGGCTGAAAACAATAGTATCAAACGACATCAAAATATCCCAAGTGGAGAGTGGCAAATAGTAAAAGGTCTGCAACAGTTTTTTGAATTCATTCGAATAAAACGATTTTTCTTCGTTGCAATTAGAACATGAATACAGAATAAAATATTGTTATTATGCTATCTGTAAAATGCTATACATATCGTACAGAGATCGTTCAACATTAAACGAAAAGTGCAAGTTGATAGTGCAGTGTTTTGCCGTATTTACTAACGATACGATCACCAGGGAGAAAATAAGGTAAGAAGATCATTGCCAATGTTTTCTACAAGCTATAAATCTTGTTTCATACGTTGTTTCTATATTGCACATCATCGGAATCATTGAAACAACCTACACCTTTCGTACAACCAGTTTATTATATCGATTCAGTACATAATTTAATCACGTGACTGACAGAAATGCCTTTTATTTTCAAACTGTTTCATTGTATGGCGAATATAAAATGTACATTAACAATATCTCGTATTTTTGTCTAGTACGTGGTTCTTACGTAAAAACCGATTTTCTAAACATATCGTATAAACCTGGGCACACCGAATAGAAGAAAAACGCAATATCATAACAGGGATAGGAAGAAAAGGACAAAGAGGACAAAAATATTACGATATACCTGTTAGGATTGAGCAACGGCCAACATTTCTTCTTGATGAATTAAATGAGTGGTATGATTAACAAGGCTCATTAATTTTGACAACGAAGCTGCCCAAGCATCTAATAGAGCAGCTGGTTCCTGAGTTCCGGTGAAACGGACTACACCAGCCAGTCGATCCGTACGGGCATTTATCACGCCGGTTTCCACCAAATTACAAAGACAGGCTTCAGTTTCTTTAACCGGTAGGTCCAACAATTCTGCCATACGCGTTAACGTGATTTTTGTGTAGTACTTTGCCATGATCCGAATATTCTGTGAAACCATAAAAAAACAAAAGTTCAACGATTCGTTGTAGTTCATCCGTTTATAAATTGTAAAAAGGAAAATAAAGAATTCGATTGGCACGCGTACATGTTCGACAACTCTGTTTCGAAGATCGGCCCATCGTTTACGACCCTCCTCGGTCGAAGGACTGAAAACTTCGGTCGCTCTCAAGTCTTTTTCATAGATTTCACAAAGTCCGGACCATTTGATCAATTCTGGATTCACAAACAGTCGTAACAGCTCTCTGCAAACAAAACAGGAAGAATATTCGCTGAAAGAGGCGATTGATTTCTACAATAAAATTATAAAAGTTGAAGAAATTGTAGAAAGTTTAGTTATTATAGAAATTATAGAACTAGACGATTATTACTTGTATGTTAGTATTTCGTCGAGAAGTTTATCCGCAAGCAATCTGTGGGTCAAGTCTGCCTGTTCTGGTTCGTGTGGAGCAAGAACGAGATATAAAACTGCTCGCGATAAAGCGGTATGCCGTCTTTTGGGGTCGTCTCGAACAGCTGGTGTTTCCAACACCGCACGATTGTGTCTGCACAATTCCAAGTGCCAGCTCTCGTGACGGGCAAGTTCCATCATAAGACTGAAATCTCGCGATGAATAGTTTATTCTTGCCGAGTTGATATAGATTCTAGAACGGGTGGTTACCGACTTACTCGTAATATTTCAATTTAAGAGATTGTGTCTCTTCGTCGTCGTCATCCTTGAAAAATTTCACGTTTATCTTCTTAGCTATTATTTGAGTACGCATAAAGTCCTTTTTAGCTAAACACAATCTCATTTGCTCCAATATTAGAGAGGCCTTTTCCAAACGCGACATACTGCCGTATGTTTCAACCTATGAATTACGTTGAAATTATTATTCGTTCCAATATTTTCCTGTAATATGCGTACTTGTAATTCTAGCATAACCGCCGCAGCACCAGAAATATCACCGTCCTCCTCTTTGATCTTTGCCAAGCGATGAGTAAGCCTTGCTCTTTCGACTTCCACGTAGATCTTTGAGAATATATTCGTATCAATTATTTGAATCTTTTACATTAGAAATATCAAGTGTACTCTGTACAATTGGTTACTGTACCTTTCCTTCGGTTACCGTACGCAAGGTTTCTATTAATTTAATCATAGTTTCCTTATCGGGCATTTTATCTACATAAGTACAACATTCCTGGACCATTTTTGTAACCGCTTGTTTTAACTGAGAACGCCTTTTGGACAACAAAACGATGTATTCATTCAGAGCTTCCCAGTTTTGTGCTTCCATACAAATTTGAACGATGGCCACTAGAATTTGGGAAGTACATGCCATTTCTTCTGCCTAGAACGTTCCAAACATTTCAATTATTTTCATACAACAACGACAGTGCCAGATATTATAAAAATCTAAAGGAAAAATTTTAACCGTTCGTGTCTGTTTTTCTAAAGCAAGCAATTGACCCAAAGCATAGAACAACATCCCGTTGCGAGCCAATTTTTTGTACTCGGGAATTTTAACTTCACAGACACTGCTGTAATCTACTTCCATTTTGACCTGGACCTGGACCTTTCGCAAACAAATTTAGAACTTGGTAACTTTCTTGTAATTAATTTAATAAGAAAAATACAATGATGTTGCCGATAGAACCATACGCATTTGAAATCAACTACTCAACATTTGTCAATGAACATCATCTAAAAACGACTGTCATGCACCTCACCGTGAAATCACGTAAAGCATGAAAATCAAAACTGCCAACAGTTCGAAATTCAAAATAACCAAGATTTTATACAATACAATCAGGATTGTATAGTAATCTCTGGTAATATGTATGTATGAATGTTTGAGAGAAGAATAAAATAAAAAGCTACGGAAGCAGAAATCGTCGTTAAGTACAAAATATTTTTTCGATAATTTCTGTTATGTGTTGAATTATCTGAAATTGACGCTCTTCATGCTACACGTACGATGTTAGAGGTTGGCGGCAGTTAGCGGTGATTAAGTTCACAGACGAGGAACATAACTAGATCTACCATCCAATGTATTATTCTGTCATCCATAGAGTAATGGGACCTACTCCTGTACGCTTTTCTTACTTCCTAAGGTGGCACGCACATCCCCACCATTTTACTGCGCATCCAAGTCGCAGTGGATCCTGCCTCAGCAGCAAATCATCAGCCAATCAAAGCAATGAAAATTTCTATATATACCCTCATTAATGGATCAAGCAGTGGCCTGGAAATGTGCAGAAATAGGTCCCATTACCGAAGTTCGAAAACCCCATTACTATTTCCGTGTCGCACTCATCATTACCGATTAGAATCCACACATTTATACCGCGCGCATATTCAAACGATGAATATGATACCTATAAAATCTAGTAAACTGCAGAAGCGAAGTTCCCTACAAAAGTTTACCCGCAATTAACTTCATTAATTAATATCCTAAAAGACAAAGGATATCACAGTTATTGGTCAAGTTGTCGTGAAATATGTTATAAAGGGCGATATTCTGAACAACTTTTTCTTTTTCTACATTGAATTTTGTTAACGATAACGCATCAGCAAAACTTATGCATAACGGGTGAACGTTTTAGTTCTAATCGAATGTAGAACCTATTCAGTGGATTGAGACAGGTAACCTTGCGAAAAACGTGCCTTCAGAATAAAAAATATGTACCGCCAACATTAATATTAACCAATGTGTACCACGAGGAGATTATTAGCCTAACAACACTATGTTAGGATGAGGTCTGGGTTTGATCCTGGTTAGTTGGGGGAGGGGAGCGGCGAATCCTGTTAATTACTAAATCCCCCTCTCCACCTAACCCGAACCTAACTCAAATCCAACTTGGTGTGGGGGGGGGGGGGG